AAATTTAAAGATAATATGGTACATAAAGTAAATGGTACCATTTAAATGCAAAAATAAAAAAATTATAAATTAATAGTATTAATACTATAAGCATGGAAACATGTAACAATGGTAAGTATTCTAAAATTAATACTATTAATTCTATAATTTACAAGCATGGATAAGTATAAAATCGTAAGTGATCTAAAATAAAATAGAAAATAAATACCATAGGGTAAGTAAATGGTACCATTTAAATACGAAAATAAAACTAAAAAATACAAATTCCGAAATAGATACATTAATATGTTGAATTATTATTTAAATAAGTCAAATTATTGAATTATTGTCAGGGACAATATCTGAAACATGTTGAATTATTGTTATTACGGAAACCGGTATTTAGTCATGGGCAAGTGTTTGTTGCAGTTTCAAGAGTAATAAATCACAATGACTTGAAGATTCTGATATACAACGAAGTAAATGCTCACACGATTTATACGAGTGATGTAATTTATAAATAAGTCTTTCGAAATTTGTAAATCATTTTACTTTTGTACTTTAAAATAATGAAATTTCTATATTCCATTATATACCAATTTATATTCCTAAAAATGATCTTAATTTAGTACCATAACTATGACCCGTGCAACGCACGGGTGTGATACTAGTTTATGATAAAAAATACCGATCATATTGTACGGATTACTCCCTCCGTCCGGAAATATTCTTCCCGTGTTGACTTGGCACGCTTATTAAGGAATAGTAAAAAAAATGCAAAATTTTCAAAAACGCACATACTATAAACTTTTAAATCTTCTTTTATTATTAAAAAAGTACTAAAAAAGTAGATTAGTGATAAAATAGAAGGGTATTATTGAAATTTATCCTTAAAAAGCATACTAAAAAAGGAAATGGGAAGAATATTTCCGGACGGACCAAAAAGGAAAGTGGGAAGAATATTTTCGGACGGAGGGAGTATTATTTATAGTATTAAAATACTAATTCTATATTGAAAAACATATTCTTAAGATATAAAAATAAACGTTGCAGCTCCGTGGATCTCTTTATATTGAAACATTCAAAAAATAAAACCATCTTAAAGTACTTATATGCATCAACATCATAAATTAAAATAACCTTGACAAGAGGGGTTCCGGCTTTAGAGTACCTAAAATTTGAATTTTTTTTATGGTTCAAAAAAATGAAGCTACCGATCAAATACTTGACTTAAGAAAAAACGAGGATATGGAATTGATGGGATTAACCCGATCAGATGGCGGACCAAGAACGGAATATGAATTTAAGGAGATATAATCACTCGATAATATTCTTTGATTGTGTATTCAACTGTCGTGTGGTGACCTCCTTTACAATGGCGGGTTTTCCCCCTTTTTATAGTACTTCTAATATTCCAATTAAAATTATACAAAATGGAAATGGATTATGGAGATCATGGGGTTGTGATCCCCCTTCTTTC